TGGCTGGGGTGTTTCAGCCCTCCCAGCTCCCACTATTCCTCGCAGCTACTCACCTGTGTTGTTGCTCGGTGAGTAGCTGCTCCTCAAATGAGGAAATCTAATGTAAATGTACTGTGCAGGTGCGCAGTTCAGAGAGGGCTCAAGAGCTACTCTTAGAGCTCCTGAGATCTACCGGTAGATCGTGATCTACCGGTAGGTGACCACGGGCCTAAACTAAAGCCTTCCTCTGCAGCCAGGCTGAAGAGCAACACCATCAGCTGTTAAGCCTGGAGTCACATACTCACATTCCATCTAAATTGCATTAAAATAGCATCACACTAGGCTGTGAGAAGGGGACCCTGTCCTAATGGTTCCCACTGTCACCAGATAAAGAAACAGATATCAAAATGGGTAAAGAAAACTTAATTAGCAGCATTTTGTCTGGCAAGAAACTGCTTATCAGTAGTTGAGATTGTAGAATCCACATTCTATGATTATGTTTGTCTGTATGATCTCTCTGGTTTGTAAAATAGTGATAGAAATGTAGCCGTGTTAGTCTGGGGTAGTTGAAGCAAAATGCAGGACAATGTAACTGTTTCTGTCTGCTGGATAATTAATTTTGCTAGGTGTAAATCAACTAAGGAGGTGGGGTATGATTGGTTAGGTCAGGGCTACTCAACTTTGGAAGCCCCGGGGGCCACAATGATACCCACAGCACATGCCTTGAGGGCTGTAACTTTTTAAGTGTGGTTGCATATATATATATAATATATATTGTGGCAGTCCACAGCCTATGAACTGCAAATATCTTATAGAAGGCAGCTATACTGGGAGATGGGTAAATGCCTTCTTATTTCCCAATTAGACTCACCTGAACACCCGGCAATCAGGGCAGACAATGGAGGCCTAATTAGGAGTCAGCCTGCAACAGGGGTTAATTAAGCACCTGTTGCTAGTTAAGGCCTCCTGGTCTCTTTATAAAAGGTTTTCTCCCAGGCAGCAAAGGGGAGAGTTTTGAGAGGTGCAGAGCCAAGCCCTGCCCCAAGGTAAAAGGCAGAAGATAATAGAAGGAAGCGGTGGGTGAAGTGGCCCAGGGGAGAGGTAGCAGTATTAGGGTGGGGTAAGAAGCCCTGTCAGCTTCCCCTCCTGAAGGGCCCCTGGGCCAGAGTCCAGTGGAGTGTGGGTCTGGACTCCCAGCCTCTTCTCCTGGAGGATTACACGAGAGAACCAAAGGCCAGGAAAAGGGGGTTTGTCTTTCCCCTGCTCTACTCAGGACTTGCCTGTGATGAGAATGACTCAGTAAGCAGGGACCCTTGCCTCTGGGGAAGTCGCCAGCCAACAAAGGGGTCACTGTGGCAATGTCTACACTGGTGGGTTCTTGCACAAGAACGGCTGTTCTTCCGCAGAGCATCCACACTGCCTGCCATTTTTTGTGCAAGAAGATTTACAGTAAAATATGGTAAGAGAGGGCTTCTTGCACAAGAGCTATGCTCTTTTCTAACAAGTGTAAGCCCTCTTATGCAAGAGGGTAGTGTGGATGGACAACAGGGGTTTCTTGCACAAAAAAGCCCTATGGCTAAAATGGCCATCAGAGTTTTCTTGTGCAAGATAGCATCCACACTGCCATGGACGCTCTTGTGCAAAAGAACATGGCAGTGAGGACGTATTTTTGCGCAAAAACCCGCTAGTGTAGACATAGCCCGTGAGTCTCTGAGACACACAAGAAACCATCAAGAAGCACAGAACCCATGGGGAGCTAACAAGGGACTTTGTCACTATATATATACACGCAAATATATGCAAACAGCGTCTTTCATACTGACAGACATGAATACAAAGATTAAAGCAAGACTACACAACACGCAGGCCCCATGTAAGTCAGTCCTGCTGATATAAATAAAATTCAATATTTACCCAATTTCCACCCATATGACAGTACTTGTGGGGAGGCTCTGCCACTCCTAGCCACCCCCCTGCTAGCTCCTGCTCATGCGCACGCATGGCTTTTATGGCTCTGCTTCTGGGGAGGCTCCGCTGCCTCTTGCCGCCACCACTTCCCCCTATGCCAGCCAGTAACAATCAGGCAGGCCGGTGGGCCGGGATGTGGCTCAAGGTGCCATGGGCTGCATGGAAAGGGGCGTGTTGAGTAGTCCTGGGTTAGGTAATTCTGTTACAGTATGGTATGATTGGTTAGTAAAATTATACTAAAATAATTGGTTACGGTACAGCTAAGCAGGACTTAAGTTTCGCTATATAAACTGGGATCCAAGAAGGAGACAAGCAAGCAAAAGTGAAAGAGGAAAAAGGAAAGACAGAAAAAGCAAAAGAAAGAAGGAAAAGAAAAGAAAGAAAGACCAAGAAGAAGGGAGAAGACCTTACCTCCAAGACACAGCCTAAGACCAGAGTGGCCAGGATTGTGACATGCAGCAGCTAAGATCCAGAGAGACTGACCTTGTCTGGCCAACAGGGGAAGTCTGCCTGCCTTTATCAGGATTGGTGAGCATGACACCGTATACTTAGCATGTGTATTCTGCTTGCTTGGGAATTGTCACTAAAAAGAGAACAACAATATTACTATGCAAGGCTCCTTCAGTGGCAAAAGATCCTGCAAACCTGCAGGAAATTATGCCCTGAGCCCTAGGAATTGGATAAGGGTGGGTGTGTAAATTAACAGGGTTGCACCTTAAGCCCTAGGAACTGGGTAAAGGGTAAAGGTCCCTAAAGCATGGAAGGGATAGAGAAATCTGTGCAAGTAACAAGTGAAGCCATCAATGTGAATAAATGTCAATCTCCTCAGATATTTAATTCAAAGACAGCCCACACAAAGGTCACTGACACAAGTACTAATGCAGGGGTGAGGAACCTGTAGCCTCCAGCTTGCCTGGACTCAGCCCCTGAGGCTGAGGACACCTTCTGAACATTGAAGAGCCCACATTGGTGCTCCAGACACCCAATGCACCATCATGAGGCTAGAGTACACAAAACCTAGTAGGCTGGGTCTTTCTCCTTCTCAGCTGGGGGCAGCATCAGTGAGGGTTTGTGGGGCTTGGGGTTTATTTTTGCTTTGGGTCAGTAGCCCCTGACCCAAAAAAGGTTGCTCACCCCTGCCCTACTGGCTAAAACACCCTCTCTCCTCATCAGAAAGGGGCCCAGACAACTCAAAAGCAACTTCAGCTATGAAGTCAGAAGAGTCTGAAAACAGCAGAGTGGTAGGGAGTTACTTCAGTGCACCAAGGAACTAGAGAAATCACGGAAAAAATACAGAAATACTGCCAAAGCCATAGAGTCATCACTCAAGCAGAGCCATCATTGCCCAGTGCTAATGTCCAGCCCTTATCTGTGAGCTCCACCCAGATCAAGGCTGGGCAAGATGCAGCCCAAGGGACAGATCCAGCCCTCCGAACACTTTGTACCGGTCCGCAGACTGCATCTGGCTGCTTTCTGTTTATATCCTGCTGCCTGTGCCATTGTATTTCCAGGCAGTGGCTCAGGAAGCCAGTTCCTATTTAAATGGCTCATGGCTCCTGGTTGCAGTGCTACCCCAGCAGGGGCCTGAGCCACGAGCCCTTTAAATAGTGGCAGCAACCCTGGGCCATACCCGGGCAACACGATAGCTCTATGCTGTGTTTTTAATTCACAACATCCAGCCCCAGACAACTCTGAGGGGAGGATAGCCTCAGCCCCGCCCCTTCTGACCAAAGCCACACAGCTTATGGGGCTGGAGCCAGCCCATGACCACATACCAAAATTCATAAAGTGGCACCCCTGAGAAAATTAGGAGCTGTCCTGTCATTGTGAAGGTCCTGAAAACTACAAGACATGGCGTACTGATCCTCCACTCCCTTATCTGAAGCCCTATCCAGGGAGAGGGAACTTATCCTCAGTCACAATGAAGCATACTTTTGGTCCTTTATTGACCTCTATACAGTCTGTTGTGTGTGGGGAGGGGAAGGGAGGGTCCTTGTTTTAGCTGTGTTCTTACTTACTTAGCTTACCTCTGGTTTACCTTGTTCTGAACTGTTGATAGTTTAATAAATGTTTTATTTGCACTCAAAATATTCTTGTTGGTTTAAGGGGCTAGCAACAAACCCAGATAATAGATGTGGGTAGGGGGAAGTTCTTCTAAACTAATTCTCTCTTGGCCAGACCAACTAGTCAACAGTAGCACTATGAGTATGTAGATGCAACAGCTGCAATTTTGTACACGGTTCTGTTGAGAATGCAAAAGGAATAGAATCCAGCTTACACTCTGAATTGTGCTGACTACAGGACTAGCAGAAGTACAAATTTAGCAACTAATTTAAGCAAAAGCAATTCCAAATGCTCGAAAAGAACTGGTGAGTATATTGATACCATTCTTATACAAATACTTTCAAAATATAACTGCATTTTCATATAGGAGGTCATTTTTCATATTTGCAACTTACCGGAGACACAAAGTGACTAAAAAATTTTAAAATGAGACATGTATTGCAAAATAATTCATTAAACATTTTTAGCTTAAATGCTGTCAACTGGAGTAAGTATTTTATGGTTTTATATTTGGTGGTAATAGCATCTTCACATACTACTTTACTATTTTGGATTGTTTTAAATGAAAAAGACACTTTACATTTACATATTATTGTAACAATCAGAAAGTCAAACCAAAAACTGATCTATGAATTTGCACTTCACTAGACTGATCAATTCCATTTTTAGGTTCTCATATGCTAGTAGAATACATACTTCAAATTTCTATCAACAAATGAAAATGTTTCAATAAAACATTGAAAAAAAATCAAAAATACTATTCATATTAGGATTCATAAAACCCAAATATTGTGTATCATTTTCTTAGCTATGCACTTCAGGTAAATGAAGTGTTAATAAAGAGACTATCAAAGAACAATGATGCTTGATCTGAAATACAGGAAATCCAAATATTGTTGAAAACATTAGCTTTCTATTCAAGTTTTATGTTTTCAAACCTGTAGTACAAAACAAATACCCTATGAACTTAAGATTCAGTTTTGACTTACCTATTAGAATGCTGCAATATACAGTGGTCCTCACATAGATTACCCTTAACATCTGTAAAAAAAAGAACCAAAACCAATCACTACATTAAGCTAGACACACCAAAATGTATTTCTGCATATGAATACTAACACTGATATATTTCATGAAAATTCTTACACATTTCAGTGGAGGATTATGAATGAAGAGTAATCCATGTGCTTCATTTCCTCCATCTATAGGAGTAATACTTCCCTCCTTTGTAAACTGCTTTGAGATTGATAAAAAGCACTATAAGGGGAAATGATGTGATGGGACTGCCTGGGCTCATCTAGACTACGCTAAAGTGTCGAAAGAGGATATGCAAATTCTGTGGGAATTTGCATATCTTCTTCCGAGGTTTATGTGGCTTTTCGACAAAGGTGTGTATGGAGGGGGTGTTGCCAAAAAAAGCCGCGTCTAAACTACTTTCACTTTCGAAAGCGAGATTGGGAGAAGATTGGGAATTTGCATATCCTCTTTCGACACTCTAGCGTAGTCTAGATGACCCCCAATCGCAGAATGTGGCCTACTGACAATAGAGAACAAAAATCCCCAACAGCCACAGACAGGACAATAGAGGGGGAGATCTCTGAGTTACAACATTCACACATGGTTTGGATGTAACTAATCACCATATTCAGAGTAAGAAAGGAATTTTCCCCTTATGGGGTATTTTGCCTTCCTCTGCAGCATGGGTCACTTGCTGGTTTAAGCTAATGTAAATGGTGAAGTCTCTATAACTTGAAGTCTTTAAACCATGATTTGAGGATTTCTGTAACTCAGCCAGATACTAAAGTCTATTTCAAGAGTGGGTGGATGAGGTTCTGCAGCTTGTAACATGCAGGAGGTCAGTTTTTACTATAGGTTGAAACTCTCTAGTCTGGCACACTCAGGTCCGGCGTGATTTTAGTTAGTCAGATGTCCACTTATCATGGGTATGGCCAAGTTTCCTGCAGTTCCATGAAGTTTGTTTACTGCCACCTGTCCTGGCTCTCGGTGTTCTGTCCTCTTATTTAGCTCTAATTTACCTCTAAATGTCTTAAGAGACAGTAAGCAGACAGGATGTTAAAATACATGCAGTTGTGTAAACATGTAATTGCTGAAATTTTTTAAGCAGTTACACGTTTATACGTGGGGGGGAAGGCGTGAACCAGGGCTCACAGGGAGTAGGCTTAAAAGTTCATTGTTTAATCAGCATGATTACATGCCCCCCCCCTCAGGCTGCCCCACTGCCTAAAAGCTGGCTGCTTGCAAGCCCCAGCTCCTGCCTCTCCCCCCCCCGCACCAGACTACTGCCTCTGATACAGAGGCAGCAGCGTGGGGGGAGCTAGCACATATGGAGAGCCAGCTTCCGGCATGCACCGGCTCCCAGCTGCTCCCTCCCCCCACACTTCTGCTGCTCTATCAGAGGCAAAAGAGCAGTTGGGGGAGGGCAGTGGCTCTGTAGGAACCAGCATGCAGGTCAGCTTTCATAGAATCATATAAACACTAGACCTGGAAGGGACCTCAAGAGATTATCGAGTCCAGTCCCCTGCCCTCATGGCAGGATCAAGCACCATCTAGACCCGTGGTCACCAATCCATCGATTACGACTGACTGGTTGATCCTGGGAGTTTGACCAATTGTGAGGCTTTCAGGGACCTCCGCTCACTACCCTCCACCCCCAAGATGAACCCCACGCTGATGCTACCTCCAGGGACAACAGAGGTAGTGTGGGCTTCCTGCAGGGTGGGGAGTTCTGCAGCTGCATGCCAGGTCCCAGAAGTTCACAGGCTGTTCTTCCCCCTCCCCAAACAGCCGGCGTGGTACCTAAAATGCCAGTCCATCACGTGCTGAGGACTTTCTTCCTCTGCTGCCTTCCTGCGTGCAGGAGGGGCAGGGGGAGGAGTGGGAGTTCGGGACCGCGCCAGCTCCAACTGCTCAGGCAGTGCGCAATGCCATAGGGAGCAGAGGAACAAAGCACATGCTGCCCGAGCAGTTGGAGCTGGCATGGTCTGGAACACCCATTCCTCCCCCCCCCTCCCACCACCACCACCACCACACAGGAAGGCAGCAGGAGAACAAAGTCCCCGGAGCATGACGAACCAGCATTTCAGGTACCGCATTGCTGTTTGGAGGTTGGGGGAGCAGCCTGCGCACTTCCTAGGCCTTGGCGCGCAGCTGCAGGATCCCCAGGTACCAGTCCCTGTCCCCTCCCCCCGCCCAGACCCCCACAAGTACCCTGCCCTGGCACCCACAGGCACCTTGGCCCCTGCCTCAGCACCCTGCCCCAGCATCCACTAGCACACTGCCTCAAGACCATGTCCCCTGACCCGGCACCCATTGGCACCCTGTCCCCTGCCCCAGCAACCACAGGCACCCTGTCCCCTGCCCCAGCACCCTGTTCCCTACCCCAGTACCCACTGGCATCCTGTCCCAGCACCCTGTTCCCTGCCCCCACCAGCACAGTTGGGGCCACATTAGTGAGCCTTGAGGTGTTTGGAGGGGTTGTGTTTTTGTATCTGACTTGCATGGCCCTGACTGACTTTTCTGTGGGTCAGTGACTGCTGACTCAAAACAGGTTCCCCACCTCTCTCATAATAAAGACAATGCTGAAACTTTTTGTGTTTGACACAATATTTTATTTAAAAATGAAGCCTGGCCAACAAGCCCCCCATTGGGGCCAAGCCCTCATCTGGCCACAGCATCATAACACTCATGTACCTCCCACCCAGACCACAAATCTGAGCGTATCATACACTGGAACCCCCTGTCCTGAGCCTCTCATCCCCAAACTCCTGCACCCACACATCCTCAGTCTTCTGCCACAACACTCTTGTACCATTCACACACTGCAAATCTGTGTCCTGAGCCCATCATACTCCCTGTCTCCCTGCCCTGAGCCCCTCACACAATCCAACCCAAAATCCTGCACGCTCACATCTACAAGCCTGTGGCTTGCTCAGCACCCCAACCCTCCACCTGAGCCCAACACTTACCAGCCTGGAGCCCCCTGAGCCAGCATCCCCTTCTCCACATCCTCCTGAATCCAAATTCCCTCCCAGAGCTTGCTCCTCTCACCCTTTCCCACACACAAATCCCTCATTCCCACCCCAGAGCCTGCACCTCCTGTTTCAAACCACTGGGGATACAGCTAGACTACAGGAGGTTTTTAGGCAAACACGCTCTTTTGGCAGCAACTGTATTCCTCATTCCACGAGAAATAAGGGGGCTTCCAAAAGAAGAGTTTTTTCTAACATTTGGCCCAGTTTAGATGGGCCAAATGTCAAAAATCTCTTTCAGCAGAAGGATCAGAGAAAAAAAGCGGCAGTATAGCTGTACCCTAAGACTGTATAAGGACCAGGTGATGGCGAGAAGAGGAACTAAGAGGGCAGAGCCTCAAGGAAAGGGTGGGGTGTTGAGGAAGGGATGGGGTAGCTCTTGGCTTGTACTGACATTTAAAAAGTGATCTTGGGTGTAAAAAGGTTGGAGACCACTGGTCCCACCATCCCTGACAGATGTCTATCTAACCTGCTTTTAAATATTTCCAGAGATGGAGATTGCACAACCTCTCTAGGCAATTTATTCCAATGTTTATCCACCCTGACAGGAAGTTTTTCTTAATATCCAACTTAAAGCTCCCTTGCTGCAATTTAAGCCCATTGCTACTTATCCTATCCTCAGAGACCAAGGAGAACAATTTTTCTCCCTCCTCCTTGTAACACTCTTTTAGGTACTCGAAAACTGCTAACATGTCCCTTCTGTCTTCTCCTTTCTAAACTAAACAAGCCCAGTTTTTTCAGTCTTCCCTCATAGCTCATGTTCTCTAGACCTTTAATCATTCTTGTTGCTCTTCATTTCTCCACATCTTTCTTGAAATGTGGTGTGCAGAACTGGACACAATACTCAAATCAAGGCCTAATCAGCGCAGAGTAGAATTAGAAGGACTTCGCATGTCTTGCTCACAACACTCGTTATGCCCTTCCAGCAGGATTGTGAACCGTTAGTAACTACTCTGCCTGGTTATCCAGCCACTTGTGCACGCACCTTATAGTAGTCCCATCTAAATTGTATTTGCCTAGTTTATTTAAAGCTGGCTTCCATAAACACAGGCTCTCATCTCCCACCACCCACACTTCTGATACAGGGGCAGCGGGAAGAGAGGTGCATGTAATTATGCTGGTTAACCAATGAGCTCAGGCTTATTGGTTAATCATGTATATGTACACACATGTACATTAATATCCCCAGTAAACAGTGGAATTGTTGATAATGCCACTAGACAATACTTTGTGGTTTGGCAAATTCTTTGGTTTGGCACCAGTAGGATCCTGAGCATGCTGGACTAGAGCAGTTCCACCTGCACCTGTATTTCCCTGTCACACACCAACACCTCACTGTGCTGGCTGCTATATAAACACAGAACAAAGATACAGCTCTGCAGACCCGAGAAGTTTACAATGTATGAAACAAGGGACAACAGACGGGTACAGGAAAACGCGTCCAATCAACCCCATGAGACAATACTGGTCAGCATAATAAGCAACTGCCTCAGCGTAGACGCAGGGCCTGTTTTCTTACCCGGATAATGAAACCTGCAACCCTACTGCGGGCTCGGGCAGACTGGTACCCCGCTGCCCTATGCTGGAGTTCAGCCTCGTACTGGAGGCAGCTGCACTGGCCCAAGGCATTTTTGCAGCAGGGCACCTGCATGTGCGCCAGGGGAGCTGGGCTGCTCCCGCTGCTCCCGCTCCGAGGCACCCAAAGGAGCGTAAATCCCGCGCAGAGCCGCCCCCCAAGCGGGGCGAGGGGCTTTCAACTGAGCGGCCAGGGCTGCGGCTAAAGCCCGCGCGAGGCTTCCGGCCCGCTGCTGCCTCGGCCCCCGGGCAGGGAGGGGCCGGTGACCGGAGGGGGGGGGA